CATGATGAAAACTCCTTAATCTCACAACACATGGACTGACTGAACCATAGTTCTAACTGTGAAACGGTCAGCATTTTAGACCAAGCTAAATCCAAAAATGCAAGGGAATTCTTGGAACCTTGGTATTCAGACAAGGCAGCCATCAACAGACACATAGAGATTAACAGCATCTACACACTATTCAAAAGAGACAATAGAAAAGAAAACAAAGGACCAGAATAGCTCCTCACCAGCAATCACCACCCAGATAAGCAGGCACACAATCAAGCAATGAACAATACCCTAATCAAGGAACTACCAAACAAACCCCCCACCCCCACCAACACTGGCAGGGCATGCCACAGTATATAAAGAGAGAGCAAACCCCATGCCATTCTAGTACCGAAGATGTTACCTAGCTGGGTAATGAAACGTTTGCAAGAAAAGAACCAAGCTCAGAGAACCCCAAGGACTTCACAGATGTAGCAGTACCAAGGGACAGAAACATTGGGAGGAGAGAGTATGAAAAGCTGGAGAAGTACCAAGGTCCGAAGGAGGAACTAAAAGGACGTGGAAAGTAATGGCCAAAGTGGTCCCAGTGGTGGTAGAAGCACTCGGGGCTGTGACTCCTAAGCTGGGAGAGTGGCTCTAACATATCCCAGGAACAACATCAGAGCTCTCTGTCCAGAAGAGTGCAGTGCTAGGAACAGTTAAGCTACTGCGCAGAAGCCTCAAACTCCCAGGCCTCTGGTAGAGGACCTGAGATTGAGGAAGACGCATACTATTCACAGGGGTGAGACGGGATTAAAAAAAAAAAGTATATAAATTAAGGGCATTTGCGGACAATTTAGTTTTAATTTTGGAAAATCTTATGGAAGGAATAGATATATTGATAGAAAAATTAAAGGAATTTGATACATTAGCCAGATTCAAAATTAATAAGGAAAAAATGATGTTGACTAAAAAAAAAAAAAAAAAAAAAAGAGGGTGGAAGCTCAAAAAGAATTGATGGATAAAACTGGTTTTCAGATTGAGAAAAAAGTAAAATACTTGGGCATTGTTGTGACTAATATGAATTGTATGTTATTTCAAAATAATTATGTCATAGTATGGAATGAAATTAAGAAGGACTTACTAAGGTAGGAAAAATTACAATTATTGTTTGGAAGAATTTCTGTGGTGAAAATGAATGTACTATATTACCTAGAATGATATTTTTATTTCAAACAATATCTGTTTTTTAAAAAATGAAGCACCTTTTAAGCAATGCCAAAAAGATATATCCAAATTTATATGGCATGGTAAGAAGCCAAGAGTTAAATATAAAATTTTACAAGATGCAAAAGAAAGAGGAGGATTAGGACTGCCTGATTTTAAATTGTACTTTGCAGCCTGCTGTTTGGTTTGGATGAAAGAGTGAGTTTTGCTGAGAAATAAAAGAATGTTAGATCTTGAATCACATAACCTGAGGTTTGGTTGGGATGTGTATTTATGGTACAATAAGTTTAAAGTTAATATAGATTTTAAAAATCATTATGTTAGAAGTGCCATATTAAGGATATAGGATAAATATAAACCCAGGCTGCACCCTAAAATGCCTCTAAAATGCTGCTTCCTTATCACAGGAAGCATTTCATAGAAATGAAGCAGCAGACAAAGAGAAATGGTTAACATATCAAGATTTATTAATACAGGAAGATAGACAACTTAAGTCAGGGGAACAATTAACTGCAGAGGGATACAGTTTTCAATGGTTTTCATTTGGACAATTAAGAGAAAAATTTAATACAGATAAAAAGGTAACTGGAATTGAACAATATAAAACAGAATTTGAAACTGAATTATGTACAAATTATGAGCATGTGATTGCAAAAATGAATAACATATTGCTGAGATTTGAAATGGAAGAAGAACAAGTTAAAGATTGCATGATAAAATGGGGTAAGAATTTTGGTTATAATATACAGATGGATCAATGGGACAGAATGTGGATAAAGGGACTGATAATATAAGAGAGAACTTTTGTAAAATGATGTACCTTTGGTATATGACACCAAAGACATTATCTTAGATGTATAAAGGTATATCTGGTCAATGTTGGAAATGTAAAAAACATGAAGGGACAATTTACCATGCATGTGAACTTGTGAAAAACAAAACAAAACAAAAAGGTATACAAATACATACAATAATGCAAAGAATTTTGAAGATTAATATCAAG